TTCCGTACACACACACACACACACACACACACATACAGCTGTTCCTTGTATACATAGCTGCCCCATGCGTGCAGATGTGCGCATGTACACGTTGTGATTTGGGTATACACACTGTGTAGACACAGCCGTTCGTTTTCCACATAGTTGTTATGTGCACATATTAGTGTACGTATTCAAAGCCGGGCGTGTACACATACGTGCATACATATACATGTACGAAGGCGTACACATAGCTGTAAATGACACATAGCTCTCCATGTACATTTCTGTACACGCACATAATGCTGTACATGTTCATGTAGCCGCAAATGTGCACATGAACACACTGCTGTACATGTACACATATCGCTACATGAACAAGTTCCGTATAGGAAAGGTAAATCAGCCTCAAAAGTATTCTTCATTCAGTGCCAATGAAAAGTTTCTCATTCAATACCATTGAAAAAATTCCTCATTCAGAGCCACTCAAAAATTCCATTAAGGAGAGAGGCGGTGGACTGGAGGCGACAGTAATGACATCTGTCGTCCTGATCTGTCATGATACGAGCCTGATAAATACCTTTTAGCATTCACGTTAGACTCTTCCGAGAATTATTAGTTGAAGAATGAGACACATGTGCAACATTTGGGAATCTTTACTGACGAAACGTTTCACCAGCCAGAGACTTCAGTCCGGTACAGAGAAGAAGGTTGAGAGATGAGAAGAATTATTAGTGAAGTTAATAATCTGTAAGGAGGAAGAAGGGATGAAGCAGGAAAGAAGGAAGAAGAGGTGGAGGAGGAAGAAGGAAAAGAGGAGGACGTTATCTACATTGGTTGATTTTCTAAGTACATTAGACTGTCGGAAAATTGTATTTCCAAACGTTCTGTTTGCCACGTCTTAAAACTTGAATAAATGTTAAGCGCTACATTGTAAGAAAAAGCTGCAAGAAATACAAGACTTGTGTCATGGTATTAACAAGGCGGTCTGAGGCAACATCAGCACTCGTAAACAATAAACCAACTAGAGAAACGTTCACGCAATAACTAGCAATTGCAGATGTAATCTTCTCAAATATATATATATATATATATATATATATTATATATATATATATATATATATATTATATATATATATATATGTCGTGCCGAATAGGCAGAACTTGCGATCTTGGCTTAAATAGCAACGTTCATCTTGCCATATAGGACAAGTGAAGATTTGTGTATGCAATAATTTCGCCAAAATCATTCTGAACCTAACGAAAAAAATATATTTGATTGTGTTTGTTTATACTAAATTATTGTAAACGTATTTAAAATATATTTAGTTGGGTTAGGCTAAAATAAATTGTTCTTGTTATAATAAGGTTAGGTAAGTTTTCTAAGATTCTTTTGGTGCAAAATTAAAATTTTTTACAATAACATTAGTGAAAAATATATGTCTTTAAACATATAAGAAAATTTTGGAAAGGACTTAATTTTAAATGAGTTCTTGCTAATTGACTAGTTTTACATGTTCGGCACGACATATAATTATATATATATATATATGTGGTGTGTGGTGTGTGTGTGTGTGTGTGTGTGTGTGTGTGTGCTCACATGTACTCACCTAATTGTGGTTGCTGGGGTCGATTCATAGCTCCTGGCCCCGCCAGGAGCTGTGTGTGTGTGTTTGTAAAGGAGGTATTAAAGTTATTTTTTTAAATATTTCAGAATACACACACACACACACACGATCAACACACACACACACACACACACACACTCTCCTATCTCTCCATCCTCCACAGAGCAGTACAGCACCAAAGATCTTGACCAAGGACGACTCCACAAATGTCACCAGAATACTAACGACGCTCTTGTTCAATTGCCTCCTTCCATCCTGTACCTTAAATGTTCACGAATATGAATGTCCCGTACACGTGACGTCTCAGACAGTACGTACATATGGACACCACAAATCCTGACTCCACAAATACACCAGAAATACTAACACGTCATTGTTCAATTGACCTCCATCCTGTTACACGTAAATGTTCGAATAGTGAATTCCTACACCGTGTACTACATTTGTAAACTCGAATAATATGACACACACACACACACACACACACACACACACACACACACACACACACACACACACACACACACACACACAGTGCATATATATTACCTATATATGCACTCATATTCACATGTGAACAGCGATTCGTAAATAATATTAATTGTAAAACATTTGAAACTCGGAATTTAATTCCTAGACATGTTATACATGAGAACTGTGGATGTTTAAGTTGAACCTAAAACTGTGGATCTTTAGGTTGAACCTAAAACTGTAGATGATTAGGTTGAACCAAAGACTGTGGAGGTTTAGGTTGAACCTAAAACTGTCGATATTTAGGTTGAGCGTAAAACTGTGGACGTTTAAGCCGAACATAAAACAGAATAACTATTATTAGTATCCTTGACAACTGCTATGTTTACTCACTACAAACATTTGTGTTTAATGCCATGTTTGTAGCTACAGAAATTATGCTCAGTATCTGGCCTCCTGTTATAAATATTTACATTTAATTTGACGTATAATTTACGTTTATTTACCTATAATTTCGAAGCACTGTTCACAGTATAAATCAAATTCAAAATCTAACTCAAAAACTGGAGAGGTAATTTGTTGATATTTCGATACTCGTGACCCATCATCATGTTGCGTGTGAAGGGGATAAAGTGATTCTTGAAGACTGTCCTTGTTGTGTCTGCGGGGGTTGGACTTCAGCTCCTGGACCCCGGTTCTGATCATTAGTTAACGTATGGCTTATGTCCTGACCTCTGGAGGGGGAGTAGGGGTGATCATTATCTGTGTCTGTCTATATGAATCCGTGTACGGAGGGTTCCATGCTGGTGCCGCGTACTCGAGTACGCAAACAGTGGCCCTCTTGATCCTACAAGCTTACACTTGTCGGGATTGAACTCCAAAAGCCACTCCTTAGGATATTTCCATGGGATGTGCTAAACCAGTGAGGGGGTAGTGCAGCACATGGGAGGATGGAAGGTGACCAGGTTTGATTCGAGGAAGAGGGGTGAGTAACTCCAATTCCCTGGGTTAAGAGCTTTGTACGGGCATCAAGAGATTATTTGTATACGTTGTTAAGGTCTTCCGGTTGCTTGTTCTCGTCTTCCCGTTGCTTGTTCTCGTCTTCCCGTTGCTTGTTCCCGTCTTCTCACAGTATATCGCAGTCTCCTCCTCCTCCTATTACTCTCATTACTCCTGCTTCAGCTGTGTCAAAGGCCCTTTGATAGTCAAGGAACAAGCAATCATCCTTCTCCTTCCACTCTGATCTTTGTAAAGGTGTCGTAGATATTAGGTTAGTTAGGCAGGTTTTTTTCCTCCTTGAAACAATATTCTGTATGTGTGTGTGTATATATGTGTGTGTGTGTGTGTGTGTGTGTGTGTGTGTGTGTGTATGTGTGTGTGTGTGTGTGTGTGTGTGTGTGTGTGTGTGTTAGTTGATTATATTTTCAACCGATCGCTTCCTCACTCTTTCCCTGTCTCTCTCTTTGCAGCTGCTAGTAGCGTCTGATGGCACTGTTTCCCTCCTCCTTCATGTGTCTTGATGCCCGGGATCGATGCCACCACCTGTGACAAAGGCTCCTTCTCTACCTCCTTCACTGGCACCTGACTTCTTTCCTGGTTCCTCACTTGGCTTCTCTACAACCTTCCATGATACCTTCCTTCTATCCCTCCTTCCTTCCCTGGCGCCTTCTCGCTTCAAGACAGTCTAACTTCAGCTTTACAATCCCCACAGTATTTTGCACACTATTACCTTAACTCTGTATAAAAACTATATATACAGACATGATTCAGCCCATTCCCGCACTGCTAGTTGCCTATTTGCGATTAAATATGCTTTGCAAACGTAACCTAACTTAACCTAAAGTAAACTAATGCAACCTAAAGTAACCTAATGTAACATAACCTAGCCAATCGTAACCTAAACGGACCTGTTCTAACCTAATCTAATTTTTTTTAACCTTACCTGGTCTATTCTAACCTTAATTGGTCTATTCTAACCTTAATTGGTCTATTCTAACCTAGCCTATTCTAACCTAAGCTGATCTAACCGACTGCAGCTATAACTCAGCTTGCATTAACTACGACTAAATCTGGTTTACGAACAGTAGAGGGAAGTGAAATAAGAGAGAACAAACAGGAAATATGAAAGATTTGTCTTCTCCTCCCGACCTTAATTCACCCAGGCTTTCATCCTTCCCTCTCCACTTGTTCCCACTTCACCTCTTCCTACCCCACACTTCACCTTAGTTCACTCCCCCACCTACACTCCACCTAATTATCGAGTGTTCTCGAAAGCAGTTAGACACAGATGCTTTCTCTCCCTCCCTCTTCCTCTCCTCTCTCTCTCTCTCTCTTATCTCTCTCTGGCGGTCTCGCTCTCGCGAAATTTTTAATCCCTTTATCGGCGGTCCAATTAAAACTTGTTTCGTCGTATTTAGTCCTTCACCCGAGAAATACACACACGCATCTAAACACACACACACACACACACACACACACACACACACACACACACACACACACACACACACCAAACATATCTAAACTCTCACACACAGACGCAGTTCTCTGACAGGATTGTTTTTTCTTGTGAGTTACCTGATTGTATTCGGGGGCCATAAGCAGTGGATCGACTCCTGCAACCACAAATAGGTGAGCACACACACACACACAAAGTGGTAGATCAATGGCATGAATTGCATAAAGAAACCGCATTTCAGTCATTGAAAACATTAACCAAGTATATTACGAACAAATTCCTGAAGACGGAACACCACGAGCATAACTCTTCTTCAGTACAGCTACAAACAGGTAATTACACACCCTGGAGTGAGTTACAGAAGCCGCCCCAACATTCATCCCCGAATGCAATCAGGTAACTCACGTACAAGAGAAAAACAACAACAATCCTATCACTGAACTGCGTTCGTGTTAGCCTAAGTCTACCCAGGCAGGCAATAAATACTAACTAACCTTCATAATAATTACAGCAACTGAGCAGCCGCTGCCAACATACGACCACAAGAGCCCTCATGCTTCAGCAACATGTGCATGGCTGAGGCACAGGTTGGGTTATTCATGGCTTTACAAACTATCCAACTTTGAACGTTAGGCCCAGCAGGACAGCCCTAAGCCTGGGTTGCTCCGTTATGGCTTTATCGAGTCGTTGTTATCATTACCTGGGAAATACGAGAATAATACAAGAGGGAGAACGGGAGGATTAGCAAGAGGAGAAAAGTGTAACAATGAGAAGCATGTGGTGTAACAGGAGAAAAATGCTTAACAGCAGGAAGACAGACAGGAGGTGCACCAGCAGCGGAAACAGGAAATTTAACAGCTGGAGAATCAGGTGTAAGAACTAGAGAAGAAACGTCAGGAAAGGCGAAACAGGATATGTAGCATAAGAAAAAGCAGGTGGTGTAACAGAAATGTGAAGCGTAATAACAGTAGGAGCAACAGTAGTCAAACAGAATGAATAGTAAGGAAGGAAAAATGGAAGCTGTAGGTTAATTTCCTATAACTATAATTTTAAAACCAGAATTTGTGAATTCAGAGCATTGTTCTATATGAGTTACCCCCTCCATGTAAACATCTTGAAAACAACTAGAATTCATTGTAAAATACACAATTATATTATCTTTACCACACCGGCCGTCTCCCACCGAGGCAGGGTGACCGAAAAAGAAGACAGAAATGTGCTTCTTAGCAATCTTTAAAAAGATTAGCCAGTAATAAAACTTTTCATACTTTTCTTAGAACTTGTGCTGTTTCACATATCGTCATTATTTTCTCATCTATGACCTCTGGGCTAGAAATACTCAGAGCTCTGATGAACACGGAGGAGAACACAGAACATTTAACTCTGTAGTGATGGGATTGAATATTAGTCTACATGAGAACAGATGTTCGCTGGTGTTCTGTATACTTTGATTTGACATTCTGGGTTTCTTGAAATAATTTAAACATTTAAAAATGGCAGTGAGTTGTTTTGATCGAAGTGTCTGTCCCAGCTCACAAGTGTCTGTCCCAGCTCACAAGTGTCTGTCCCAGCTCACAAGTGTCTGTCCCAGCTTACAAGTGTCTGTCCCAGCTCACAAGTGTCTGTCCCAGCTCACAAGCGTCTGTCCCAGCTCACAAGTGTCTGTCCCAACTCACAAGATAAGCCAGTAAATATACCTTATATATTTTCTTTATTTTTTTCACGTTTTCCATTATTATTCTATTTACTTCCCCTTCTCTCTATCGTCTATACTTCTCAAATTCATCTTCTACATTATTCTCATCTTCAAATCTTCCTCCCTCTCCTCATTAGCTTCTTTATCTCCTTTTCATCCTCCTCCTTTTCAACCTTCTAACAT